TAAAAGCCTTAGATTTAGGCAATTTTTTATATAATTTTGAACTTGATATCTTGCTTATTTAGCTTAATATAAATTTTCAAAAAGTGTTCACAATAATATAGTACCCTACTATAGAAACTAATGAAGCAATAGAAAAGAATGTATCTATAGTTAACAATGAATTAAATTCTTTTGAACATCAAGTAACTATAGAAATAAACAAATTCTTTGAAGAAAATATTATTAATAAATTACTAATAGATCAAAAAATTATAAAGCTAATAAATACAGATATTATTAACCAAGAGACTGCAAATTCTACTAATAAAAAACAACAAGAAGTTACAAGAATAGAGGCACTAAATGTGTTTGATATACTCTCTATATATTTATTATAACAAAAAAAATAATACAAGAGAGTATATTAGTTTAATTTCAAAATTTAGTAATATAATTCTCAATAAAAATGAATAATAAGTATATTTTTTTTTATTTGAACATACAAGAATATTTGATAGGTGTTTGCTTTAGCTTTTTTTAAATAAACTTTTAATATGCATTAAATTATTAAATAAACAAAAATTTAATTTGCTTACATGTATCTTTATAATATAATAAAAATTGATTAAATAAAGTTATTAATATTTCTATATAATAAATAATAATTATTACTATTATATTGTACTATAATTAATATTAATTCAATTTGCATATATATTACTGATCAAATCACTGATCAAATCATATTTTGTTTCTCTATAAGTGCACATTCCTTAACAACATGCATTTATAAAGATTTAACTGTATAAAAAAGTTACACATGTAGCCAATTGTACTCCTTTTGTAGTGGTTCATTGAATTATAATACCAATAAGTTATTAATAAAAGTCAAAAGACTAAAGAGGTCATCTTAAAAAAAAAAAAAAGAAATACTAAAATAAACTAAGATTATTTATAATAAAAAAATTACATGTAAAAATGAGAGCTCAGACTAGTTTATTTGTAACCTAAATTGAATAATCTTATATTATATAATAATTATATTTTAATTTAAAAATATATTTAATAAGACAAAGGTGTAGTGACCTAGTGAAGTGAACAGATTGTTAACCTCCAAATAGCAGGTCTAGTATTCAAATCCTATAAACAGCAAAATTTGAATAATTATATTTGTATTATAGTAACTGTATCTTATTAATCAGTTAAACAGTAGAAGAAGATCTGTAATCTTAGGTACATTATCTTGAATAAAAGCTCAGAGCATCTATATAAAGTATAATATTATACATATATAAAGAAATGTTAAATAACTAGTATTGTATAAGACTTTGGTACAAACCTATGATAAGACTATTGGGTATATAACTCTAAGAAACCAGAACATAGAAATCTACTTGGAAATTCCAAATAAAGAGGTAGCATGGACTTTCGACAGTATTACTGGACCATCAGGAGTTTCAAAAGGCATAACTAGAATAGAACAGATAATAATATATATAGAAAAGCACATACCAACTAGGCTGCCAGAAATCATCAGAGGAAAAGAATCTTAGAATACCATGCTAGGCCATCTGGATTGGTAGTCTGAAAAATCTTATAGGTTAAAATAAAGAAAAGATGTTAGAAAAAAAAGGTATCAGAGTCCTAGTAAACTTTACAAAAGTATAGCAGTTTAATGGTTAGCTCTAATTGCAAATGATAGTCTAGGCCAAAGCAGTACTGGATTAGCTGTAAGTATAAAATACAGAAGGTTCTAATAGATCTGTTAGAAATGTTAGATTTGTTAGTTTTCTGGTACAGTAATGTGAGCCAATTAAAATCAAATCACATGTATTAGAATTAGTATTTTTATTAAAAACATCCTGATCTTATGATCCTATAATCAGAATCATATAATCTTGTGCTTGTTAGAATCGTCTTGGTGAGCTAAATCCAATGATAGTTGTTTTATCCAAATTGGTTTGGTACATCAAAAGTTATGATCAAAAATATATAAAACTCTTAATGTTAACAGTATAAAGTTAAATATAAATTTGTGATTATGATATATTTGTAGTAACTCTGCAGTTGATAGAGTAGAAGTGAATATAGAAATTGAAATGTTTAAATAAAGAACATATAAACAAGTTCTAGATATGGCAACTAGTGTAGAAACTTTAGACAAACTACTTAAAATAGATAATGACTAAAGTTGTATGAGTGATTAGTTATATACTCTTTTTATAATTGCCTTTGTAACTGTTGTATACAATAGTTATATGCTGACTAATTATCAATAAACTTCTAAGTCACAATTACTTATCTTAATATTAAAAAAAAAAAATTTAATAAGATATAAAATAAATAAGTTGTTATTTTTTTAAGTAATAGATAGATTAAAAGTTTAAAATTTGCTAATAGCAAAAATTTGAACAATTGGTTATATTATAGTAACTATTTTTTATAATTAATTAAGACAAGACATTGATAACTATAGTTATATTAATATAATTAACAAGTTATAGAATATTTATATAATTTTAATTATATAAAAAAATGCAAACCAATATTAGATAATATAAATTTAAAATAAGTCTTTATAACTATATAAATTTGTAAAACTAAAAAAACAGAAACCTATTTAAAAAAATCTAAGTAAAAAAATAAAACAAATATTTCAGTATTTTTATAAAAACTAAATCTAAAAAACAGATACTAATTTGATAAGCCAGAACCTTTAAATAAGAATACTATTAATTAAATTATTAAAATTCAAAACAAAAAAAAGAATATTAAATTGAACTTATCACTCTTTTCAAATTACTGTGATCAGCAAATGATTGACCATCACATAGAAATCATCAAAATTTCCCAAATTCAAGGCTTTTTTTGCGAATAATCTAAATTTCTTGCTTACAAGTAAAAATTTCCAAGATTCCTCTTTTATTTCCACCTTTTAGATACTATATCTAGCAATATACAAGAGCTTGTTGTCTGTATAGCTGAATAATTATAGAAATCTCAAGCTTGTTTTTTCGAATAAATGATAATACTTGATTTTTTAATTACCATATCAGATATATATTACACAATACACTTATGTATTTCTTTGAAACTACGTAGATTGATTTTTGAATAACAGTTTTTTTTTTTTTTTTTTTTACTGAAACTGTTAATATTGTAAGTATTCAATTACAATAAATTAGGATAAATTAAAATATAATCTAATTTTTATTTTAGATGCCACTTCCTTATAGCGAGGATCTTAAGTGGCGCATAGTTTATTTACATTATGAATGTTACCCAAAAGATGAAATTGCCACTATTTTACATATCAGCAAATCACTAGTAAATAAAGTTTTAAGAATTTATAAAACCTGGGGCACAGTTACCCATCTATGGCACAAAGTTTCTGGTGTGCAAAAAACATTTGATAGAAATAATATGAATGCATATATACATAGTTTTAACTAGGTACTGTCTAATAATTATTTCAATAGTCCTTATATATAGTATAAATTAGATCTTACAAAATATCATCAAAGAAAGGGTTGATTGGTACTTGGATGAACTCATTTCTGAAATGGAACAGCACACTAGAAAGTTGGTTTCAATTTCAACATTATGAAGATCTTTGGTATACTGTAGCATTACCAGGAAGAAGGTTAACCTATTTTATTGATAAAACAAATGTAAATTTTAATTATTAGTAATAATATTTTTTTTAATTTAGCTTCATAAAGCAGCAAAAGAAAGGAATGAGCTTGTACGAAGTGCTTTTATGGCACATGTTGGAATGAATTATCAGCCAAAACAATTAGTATTTCTTGATGAGTCTGCAAAAGATAAAAGATCCATAACACAAGGTTATAGATATTTACAAATTAATACCTGGGCAGTAAAAAAAATTGTATATGTACATGGAATACGATATACAATTTGTCCTGCTTTAACATTACAAGGAATAATTGCTGTTGATATAGTAGAAGGCAATTATACAAAGCCTAAATTTACAAATTTTATTATAAATAAAGTTGTATGTACAATACTAATTATAATTAGGTTTACATTGATTTTTTGACTTCCCAAAAGTTATTTCTCTAACAGGATATCATATAGGGTTAGAGTTAGCATTTGATTAGTTGCAGCTACCTATTTTTAGCAAATTGTCACCCTGTATGATTTTAGGTAAGTGACCTGTATAAAGAAATAACTTTTGGAAAATCATACTATAACCTGATTTTTCATTAAAAATTATTAGCTATTTTTTTTTTATAGTTGTCGCAAATGCGCTTATATCCAAATCCTAAAAGCATTTTAGTTTTAGACAATGCACATATTCATTATGATGATGGGCTGCTTGAATATTTAGATGCATTTGGAGTATGTGTAGAGTTTCTTCTACCATATTCGCCTGATCTCAATCCAATCGAGACAGCATTTTCTGTAATTAAAAGTTTTTTATAACGATATTATGACTTTGCTGAGAATTCACATGATCCGATATACCCTTTATTGGTAGCATGTGTGCAAATTTCATCTGAAATAGCAAAACAATTTTACAAAGCTTTAGGATACAAATAAAATAATTCAATATAATTTACTGACATTAAAATACATACTAGTGCTAATTTGTACTAACTTTAAAATATATTCTTTTGCTAATTGTACTTAGAATACATGCTATTTCTATTGTGCTTAATGTTCTATTAATCAAATATAATAGTAAATACAAAAGAATTTTAAATGCAAAAATTAAGCAGAGTTTTATTTTTTGATTTAACTATAATGAAAACAATAAAAGAAATAAGATAGTGTAGAGCTAAAAGATCTATATTTTATTTGAAACAAATACTTAATTCGTTATTATTAACTCCATATTTTAAAATTTTATCGCACCAATTTTTGTTCACATAATCTGTAATTTGCTTAGTCTAATACACTTGTTACCTATATTTTCTTTACTCACAATTATCCTATTCGCATTTCCTTTCCATTCATATAACTTATACTTACCAATAACTAGAGTTGAATTGATCTACTTGAATAAATATACTAGTGCAATCTGACTAATTCAGATTGATTCAATAATTCCAAAATTCGTGATTTTATTGGTCGATCAATAATTTTTTCAGATTATAGCTGTTCTTATAAATTCTGGGACAAGTGATAAAAATCTTGTCAAAATTAATTCTGCCAAATTTAATAAGTTTTTGATCTTAGTACATAAGCTTTTGATTTCTGTACATAAGTTTTTGATTTTTGTATATAAGCTTTTGATTTTGGTAAGTGCCGATAATACTGAAATCAAAAGCTCATGTACCGAGATCAAAAACCTATCGAATTCAACAGAATTAATTTTGGCAAAATTTTTATCACTTGTCCCAGAATTTATAAGAACAGCTGTAAATTCAAATCAAATCCGAATCAAATCTGAATTTACTCAATCCGAATTATAACCAGATTTATGAAAGAGATTCTGAATTCAATCTGATGGTCCTAAAAAAATAAGATCGAAGCTCTAAAATATATGCAAAAATTAAGTCTCACAATAATGTATACCCTGTTCATTGACAGACTTTTAATAAAAAACTCACTAGTATTAGATGCAATTTTGTATTATGAATTCATACAAATTATCCAGATCATATACTGTTTATGATTATGTGTACAAAACTATTATAACAAACTAATTTAGCATTTTGCAAAGTTCTAAAGCCTTTTCTCTTTAAAAAACTATATTTCTGGAATGAAAATTCTTATACATTAATTTTGCTTCATAGATTGTATTAAGCCCATTAGCTATTTATGATAATATAAAATAATTATTTTATAATCCCAATTTAAGTCGTAATATTTGCTATCTAATAATCTTCAAATCTTTCTTTTTTTGCATACCACATAACCATCATATAATTATGATTACTAATATTAAATAAAGTAAGTTTTATTTATAAAAAGTAACATTAAATATACTTATATTACTTACATTTTTGATATTTAAAAATTAAACCTTTTAGTATAATCATGCAAGGTTTGTTGGGCACCAACTGTTTTTACACCACATTCCTTAAATGCTTCATTTGACAATGTTTTTAAATTCTTTACTGAAACTTCCTGCTTTTTAAACTCATGCAAAAAATTTTGATAATAGCACTAGTTCCTTCTTGTTCATCTACTTCTTTCAAAAATTTATCTATCATCAGTAAAGTAGTTGAAACAAATCTACTTGCATTGGGTTAAAGAGAAATGAATTGTAATTGCACTTGATATAAATTAAAAGGTAATGAAAATAGTTGAAATGCTAAAGGCCCATAAGTCCAATTATTTTGTGATAAAGGAACAAATAACGTTTGTGATAAAGCTTGTGGTAATAGAATGAATGGTGCTTGTAATGATTGTAATGACGATAGCAGTGCTTGTGAGAATGGTAGTGGTGCTTGTAAAGATGGTAATGGTGCCTGTGAGGATGGTGATAGTGCTTCAGAAAATAAAAATGGTACTTCAGAGAATAGTAATAATGCTTGTGAGGAAGACAATGCAGAAGAGCGTAACTTTTTAAATGTCTTGGTATGAGAAAAAAGAGGATATGTTGGGGGGTCATTAATCATAACCATTCCTTTATTCTATATATAAGTATATATAAATACTGTACAAAAATTGTAATTTTATAACTTTTTTCTATCATTAGTAATTTACCATATTCGAAGCCTATATTGAAAGCATCATAAAGTTAATTTCTATATGTAAATCTTTATGACTTTCCTTATATAGACAAGGTTGATTGTGTATATTGCAATGATATTCTTCTCGGATTTTTGATACATTCTCAGCGATTGCTTTATCTTCTGAAGTTAAGGATGAAGTACGTAGAACCTTATTATTATTTTTGTAATTAACTGAGGATTTCCTTTCTTTATCGTTATTACTAGTTATGTTAGTATCTTAAGCCGTTTTTGTAATTATATTAATTAATATATTTGGTTAGTATAAGATATGTTTAGTAATTCCAATTATTGCTCTTTGCAAAAATAGTGTAACAAATAAAAACAATAATAATACGTATGCAGGATTCTTTTACTTCATACAAAATTCTGCATATTATTACAGATTTAACAATAGTAATATGTATCAGTATTCAGAATTTATAAAATTCAAAAACATTATTTGTTACACTATTTTTTGCAAAGTGCAAAAATTACCTTTTTATTTTGTTTTATTTGAGTCGTCTCCATAATCATTATATAAATTTCCATATCATTTTTTTTTGCAACTAACTTTAAACATTCTGTCTTAAACTTTATAAAATCATGAGCATCAGCTAATTGGGTACTGACACCAGTTTCTCTTGGTGCTTTAAATGCTATGCTATAATCAGTTGGTAAAAGAGTATTATCTTTGGTCAACATAATGAGTTTATTATGAATTGATAGAAGAAATTCATCTACAGTCGACATTGATTCTTTAAACCATTTTGCTGATAACGAAATTCCTTCAACAGTTTTGATGATTAATTTATACCCTAATTCGAATTCAGAATCATCATCGCTACTCATTGAGCTATCTTTACTAGTCACTTCACTAGCCACTTCACTGGTTGTTTCACTAGTCGTTTCATTGGTCATGAAAGATATAGATGGAGAAAGTGACAGGATTACTTCCTAAAAAATATATATATATATAAATAAGCTTATATGTATATCTAATAAATAAATAAATAAATAAATTACATTGACTTTACATAGAGTATCTGTTGTCAAATCTATTTCATATATTGTTTTATTCTCTGCCACATCTGTTGAATTAGCCATTATTTCATCTGTTGTCACATCTCATTTTATTTGATAATTTTTTTTTAGCATTAGTTTTTGCATGAGTCAATTTGTTCAAAATGTTGTTACAGCAACTACAAAGAGAAAAATTAAACTGTTTTTTTAAATTTATTTGATAATTGTAATCTAAGACTCTTTTATCAATGTATTCAAATTTTAGTCATATTCATGTAGGTTCGTATTTACATGGATACGCTTGTTTAACCTGAGGAGTCTTGTTTTTTTTTGTTGGTACCAAGGATTTTTTACAATTGCAAGTGATTTGGCGCAAATCTACCATGCAGTACAAACATTTTCTACATCCAAAACAAGTTCCACGATGATATTTGAGTTTTGTATTTGCAACGTCTGATATTAGTTCTTGACTATTTTGAAAAAAAGGCAAAAATTTATTAGATTTACTATTTTTTTTATATTTATATTTTTTATTTTATATTTCTGATTCCCAGATTTTCAGATTTCTAGTGACGTGTAATTTTGGAAATCTGCTGATCACAGTAATTTGAAAAGAGCGATAATATATTAAAAATAAATCACAATCTTACTAAGCTATCTGAATTAAAAATCTAAAAACAAAACAATAATATACTAAAATACTAAGAATATGCTGTAGATAAACTTTACAAAAACAATACCTTGTTAATAATCTATAGAATAGAAAGGTTAACAAGAAAATGCCCTAAGCCTTACAATTAAATAACATGCTCTAAAATGGTAATAATTTGACAAATATCAAAAATGAAACTAAATATTAAGTTAGATTACACTTAGATGTACAAGAATTAGACACTTTGTCTGGTATAATATAGAGATCAGAATATTTAAATAGGTAATCTTCTAGTAGATTACAAGTATAACAACTAATATAAAACCTGTGGATGAACTACTTAAATAGATAACCAACAGTTGCCACTCACCTTGTATAAGTTATATGTAATGTATAATTAAAATCACAATAAAGACAATAACTGCATTACCATTGACCTTAGTGAAAGCAAAAAAAACTCTTATTTAATAATATTATGATAAATTGAGAAGTTTATTGTAGATTAGATAAATTAATAGATGACAAATTAAATTTAAATAAATATTAAAAATAAAAATAAAAAACTTTACGTAATTTAACACAAGTAACATTAACATATATTTGGCTTTCTATTTCTGGCGTAGATGTTAAAAGAAGCTTTAGTGATTACAAGAATACGTATTTTAAATGATCGTAGCATGCATTATCTAAAGAATCCATTAAAAGATTAAATTTTTTATATTTTAACTTGTAACTTTTAAAAATATAAAAATTTTAAAATTAAAAATATTAGATTTATCGATATAGTTAATGTTTTATTCATAAAACAATTTTAACAAGTAATATAATAACAATACCGATACATAACAATTACTAATACGTAATGATAAACAATATACGTATTAATTTAGAAATAGCAGTGATTTTACGGCAAGATTTCTGGACACTCTAGTTCCTACCTCGAACATACATAACGATGATCAATCCGTGATATACCGATACCGTAATTACAGTAATCAATAATTAAATTCGTTAAATTCATACGTAGTTAAATTCATAATTAAATTCATAAATTATAATTAATTATATAAAATATGATTGGATATTATAAAATATTCTGAGAATTTTGAATAATAAATAAATAGTTCGAGATTCTAACAAAGGATCGAAAACAAGAGACTTATGAAAAACATATACAGCTGACTCTTTCTATATCAAACTTCTATAAATCGAACTTGATATCAAAAACTAAAAACAGCTTAAAACAATTCCTAGATAAATTGGTTATATCCTAACCTAAATAGATTAATACTGGAAAAAAAATTCTTGATTACATAAAATGATACAATGATCTACGAAAAGTATCTCCAATCATTTTAGTATATCGATATATTGACGAAAGAAAAAGAAATCATCCTTTTTAGTTCTCAGTGTCCGGCTTATCCAAGTTCGGTTTAGTGAGAATTAATTATTGTTACTATTCCGGAAGAGGTTAGTATACATTACATCCAGCTTTAGCAGCATTAAAGCGTTAAAAGAGCAAGCGAAAGCGATCGTTATACAGGTGATTTTATTTATGCCAATCTTTTGATTAAAGGGTAAAGGTTAAAAGTTACCTCTTCTTTTTTTTAGTAGTGACACAAACAACCCTTTATATAGAACTTTTACTACCGCCGCCAAAAAAAAAAATAAATAAATAAAATAAAATAAAACTATTACGCATTAATGAAGCAATAAATTTAAGAAAATCATTGCACAAAACGTAATAACTGCTATGCTAATAAAGAAAATTATAGTAGTAAAAATTATTTGCCATTACGAAAAAATTTCGTAGCATATAAAAAATGCGTAATTGAGCCAATCAAATCGTACATGTATCCTGAAAATGTTATCATATTCTGTTTTAAAAACTTGAAGTTTCGCTTAAAAAAAAAATCATCTTTTGCATTATAACAAAAAATAAAAAAATTTTCTGCAAATGTTTGATATAAAACCTTTCATTTTTCCTTTACTAACTCTAAACATAATATTAACCAAATCCTTCCTCAAATCTGACAACTCAATTTTTCCTTTAAAATGATATTTAAAATTTTCCTTTAAAAATTTATATTGATGGGTTCTTTTTTTTTTATGTTAGTTCAGAATTGACAAGTCATTTTGGAATAGTGAGTAGGGCATATGATCGTATACGTAATAGTTATAGCTTGGATAGTCGGATATGAATTCTCAGGTTATACACATAGTACCAGGGTATAACTGATTTATACCCTGCGGTCTTGATATAATGACCAGACTTATAGGCAGAAGTTTGTTTGATTGGCAAATAAAATTTATACAGTGTAGAATACTTTTTTAAAAAAAGAAAACTAATCATGAAAAAAAAGGCTGTATAGAAGGTTTCACTAGAGTTGTAGGACTCCATAGTCACAAATAAGATCTAATTGTCGATAAAATCAATTTATTACTAAGCTAAATTTTTTAAACGGATGAGAATTAGATCTTACTTTTGACTATGAAGTCCTACAGCTCTAATGAACCTTCTATATAATTTTTTTTTTTTTACTTTATTATGGTGTTTTTTTAAAAAAAGTATTCTAAGCTGTATAAATAACGTAAAATTAAATTGAATTAATTAGCCAATCAGACGAACTTCTGCCTATGATACCAGGGTATAATAAAACATATAACCCACTTTTGGTGTGCTCCAGAGTGAGATATTTTTTTCTTTTTCATAGTAAACGTGAACAACAGTTGTCATTACGGCGCGTTAGCAAACAATTGGTCACCAAATCCAATCATTTGGTCACCAAATTTGATTTTTTTGGTCATCAAATTATTATTAAACCAAATAAAACTGTTATTGGATGCTACACATCCAATAACTATTTACTATAGAATGGAGCACACCATTAACAAGCTTAGTTGAGACCGACAATTTTTTTGCCTTTATTAAAGAGATAAAAATGTCAAGTAGAATAATATCAAGGGCCGGATATTCGTTAATGCCTAGGGGTCCCCAATTCGTTGGATACAGTTATCAAAGATTTCAACCTAAGAAAAATCATGTAAAGCTATTCAGGATGAACTTTCAATTGATGAATAACTTGAGAATCAATTTGTGTACACCGATTATAACTTTTATTTTAATAATTGTTCTCTCAAAACGTTTTCGACTTTAATTACGCATCCTATGAAGAACTCTAAGTTTTAAATTTTTATGTACGTATACTTGGAGAGTTTGACAAGAGTGTCAAACAATTATTATATTTGGAACGATTCTTTTATTTTTTTTCTACCATTTATCGTTATATAGTCGATAATTATGTCTCAAACGAAAAAATTATAAATTATTTTATTATATACCTTAAAAACTTGGTTTCCCTATTCAGTCGAAAAATTCATTAGTGTAGTTAAATTTAACATATGTCATATTCCAATCGGTATAAATTTTAAAATGACGTATGTCAATTTAAAAGATAATTGAATCTTATGCTCAAAAATCGCCGCGAACACTCTTTTCCAGTACATATGGACAATAATACGCTATATAACGAATATTCATATAGCTAGACAAACGATTAGCAAAGTACATAATAGCTTCAAAATATTTATCCCTATACATGGCGTAGAAACCTTTAAGAAATTCAAAAAACATCTACGTAAGTATTGATTTTTATCAAAACTATTTTGGCTGTTTTCATAAATTCCGGGACAGCTGAATGATTTATTGATGATCAAGTCTGATGCCCGAATCGATAAGTTATGGTGTTGGAATTATAGATAAGGTAATTAGGTTACGACCTAATTACGACAATATGTCTGCATCCATAGTTGGAATAAATAACCAGAAACTTATAGATACATTCATCGCAGATGTCCTATATCTGGACTAAAGGTTCGAAGATAGCGATGTAGTTTCTGAAGAGTTAGGTAATTTACAGGATGAACCCGAAAATACTTCGGGTAACGAGCAAATTTTAATTCGTCCCGGAATTTTATGAGAACAGCCGTTATGAAAACAGTTGTAAGGTTGTCGAAATACCTTGGCAAATCCAAAAATTTCTACACCATGTATAGTGATCTCAGAGACAAATTAGGTCGGAAATGTTTTTGCTAAACTTGTATTTGAGATTCAATGAGGTCGCAGAAGATAAAACCTGTAATTGTTGATTTTTCGAAATCTCACTTTACAGGAACGGGTTTATCAGACACATGATTCAATATTATATGTTTAGATAGAATTTAACATCACTATCATTTATCGGAGGCCGTTCCTGTAAAATAAGGTTCTCAAAAAATCAAGAATTGCAGGTTTTAGCTTTGCAGAATTCATATTAATAATATGATTTATCATTAAAATTTTTCAATAGAATATGATAAAATAAAAGTCACGTAGAACTCCTTCAGGGTTATATATAGTCTTAAGCCGTAAACTTTGGTATCTTTACTCGTT